TTGGTCCTGAAGTTTGGGCGGCTCGCCCCCCTGATCCTCTGGAACTGAGAGAGGAAAAACGATGTCCCCAATCGGAAGTTCCATTCTCTTGACCCGAATGGTTCTCAGGTCATCATTGTCAATTGCGTCTTGGCTACCCTTTAAGGGAGCTACAAGGTATTCCTGTCTCCAAATGAAGCCAGGTTGGATGTGGTACCCTAGAAAGATACCGTCTTCGGCCTTTGGGTCGAACTTAGATGCATTTGTGATGTTCTCCTTGGGGTTGTTCCAATAGAGAACCTTGGCACCAAAAGGAATGCGCTTACCGCTAAAACCCTCACCGAACCTTTCGTCCCATGGGATCCTCGCGGTGTCCATCCTTTTGGACAAGTTTAGAGCCATAGCATGATGTTGAGCAGCTAAAGGCCAAAGCTTCGTTGGAAGTCCCGCCTGAAGCAAGTTCGCCCTGGTGCCCTCGAGCCCCGTTCGGATCTCTCTCTCAACAACAGACTTGCTCTCATCGACGTAAGGTCGGGAAGAATTGTGACGAACTTTGTACTTTCCAGTGGCGTTCTTGAGTTCTGGGGCATTGTCAGAGTAAATGATCCCTGGCTCATCATCAACAGTGAAGTAGTGCAACAGGCGATCATAAACCTCTTCCGACTCCTTTCTGCCTGCCGGGTGCACATAACGAAAGTTAGTGAACACGTCCTTAACCACAAGAGCAACTTTCTCACCTTCAATCCCAAAATCACGCAAGTCCTTGGTCACGATGTGATCAATTGTCACGTGGTCTCCAAACTTCTTCGAAAAGATAGTGGAGCTCCCCCCCCGCTTTCTGGCATGTGGCGCTAGCATTTTGGCCTTTTGGCATACCTTGCAGAAAGGGTTCTTAGGACGGTGGGTGAATTTGTGTTCCGGGCTATTGGCCTGCAGCTTGAGCTGGGCTGAACGTTTCTCGTCTTTTGGGTCAACTTCAGCTTCTATTTCGCTGTCAGGCTCCGGCTCAGGGTCATCGGCAGGTCTTTTAAAGATCGTTATGCTGAGGATGGAGGCATCAGAAGGAAGCTTGGCTACCCGATTGTCCAACGTCCTAACATCCACGTCCTTTTCGACCTCCTGCCATTTCTTGACATAGATCCAAGTACTCCGGATGACGTGCTTTGGAAACCTCGTTGCAGGCGTTCTAAAGGTTTTGGGAAAGTGCCCCACGATCATTTGAGGAAAGGAAGGATGCGAAACCCAACCTGGTTTTTGCAAGTACTCCGCCTTGATTCCTAACGGAGTGACCTCTTTCAAAGCTTTTTCAATCCTAGGGTCGAGGCCTGAACCCGAGGACTCACCTTCCGGCTCTTGTTCTGCTGCATTGGCGTGCCTTAGTAGGCCGCTGAACGGGCAAAACCCGATGTTGCCTGGATGACCGGCGTGTGCGCCGTCTTCTCCTTCTTGGCTGGCATTGCGATTGTGCCATCGCCAATGACCGGGACTCTCCCGCGCAGCTTACAATACAGCTTTCGGCCTTCGGGTGTTACGAAGTACGGCGTCTTCCCTGAGTACCAGTGGAAATCAAATCCCTCATCCATGCACCTCCTCCCTACTGGCAAACTGGAGGCGTTGAGTCAAGTACATAACACTCAAGGACCTTGTTGATCTCCGGGAGTTCTAGCTTTACGGCTTCATTCCCCTTTACCGGTCCATTGGCCGTTATCAGTGACACAGGTCGAGAGGCGGGCTCGATGGGTACGTCTGGGAAGTGAGTCCTGCAGTCCGCTTTGCTGATGAGGTCCTCTTCGCTTCCCGTATCGGCGAGAAACTCGAGACCGGGGACCGTACCGGCACAGGACGGACGTGCAAGCCGCTCACACTCTTCGCAGAGGAAGCCTTCTTCGGTGCACTCATACCCGTATCCCGCAGGCATGTCCTGGACGCTGCACTCCACCATTGTGGCAAACTGCTTTGCCCACACAAGAGCCCTTTTCAGATCCTTAGGATTCGAGCGAGGGCACTGATCATCAGTGGGGTAGATCTCATCGTAAACCCTGGGAAGGTAGGCGTGTTTCCGCTGTTTGCCTTCCGGTTCAATGGCAATCATTTCTACAGTTCTGTCGAAGCTCACCTTAGGGAGTTCTTGCATGTAGAAGATCGTCTTTCCTACCCATGTGCTACCGGGCCCTTTGTTCGGAGCCTTCTTCCAATTGTAGATCTTGCTTCCAACAAAAGGATGAACTGGCAACACAAGCTCGAGCTTTGCTTGGTTCCTAAGCTTCTTGGGGTTCACAGGACAGGAATTGTCTGGAACATACCAATCTGTTCGGTACTTCTTGTGATGGCGGATGATTTTGTTGCCGGTAAAGTCTACCTCCCAGTAGTCCTCGTCGTGTGACGCTGCCATAGCCAGCTTTGGCGAGATCTCATGATCCGCTAGACTTTCGGCTGACACGGCGCATGCAGCGTTCTTTGCCGCTTTGTCACTCGACTTCGCCCTTGGACTCCTCCCTCTGCGAGGGGCAGGGGAGTTCGGTCTAGGAGACCCTGCTTTGGGGGCTGCTGGGGCGGCTTCGGACTTGGGTGCTGGTGCGGTAGGCTTCTCTATGTCCTTATGTTGGAACCGACACTTGTCACCCTTGTTGCAGGTGCCTTCTTTCCAGAATTTGCAGGTCACGTTGATTTTCTTCTTGGGTTTGTCACCTTTGGGGGACAGTGACCGCTGCTTGTGAAGGAAAGGGCACTTGTTGCCTCGCTTACAAATTCCCTTAAGGAAATCGTAGCATACTCCCTTTGGGCTAGGTGTCCTAGGCTTGTTGGGAAACTGGGATCTGCCTCTGCTGGGTGACCTTGGCCTTGGGCTCTGCGATCTGCCACGGCCTCCTCTTGAAGAGGGGCTGGATGTGCGACCAGGAGACTTTGAGGCAGGTGCACCGTACTTATCCCCGTGAGAACGTGCAATACGATCACGGTTCTTGCGCTTGCGCTCTCTAGTCAAAAGATCTTTGAGCGACTTTACAAGAAACTTGTACGTGTGCTGCTCGCTGCCCTCTGCTGCTCTGTCGTAAATCTCAAGATCGTACTTAAGCCTCTTGGACTGCCTGAGTTCACGAAGAAAGATGTCTCTAAGGGTCGTCTCGTCCGGTGTGTGGCTAAGTCCAGACATGACAGATTCCCAGTTGTTGATGAACACTGGAAGGTCGTCGTTGATCAACCTTACTTTAAGCAGATCCTCCACGGAGTACAGTGAGCCTACCTCCTCGTTCGTCTTGAAGTACTGATCGAAAAGGTAGAGCACCTGTCGCCCTCGCACCGCCCTGAACTTTGCCGCTTCTGTCTCTTTGAAAATGAGAATCTCTCGGGAAAGTTCTCCCCTAGCGACTTTGGTGAGGGCAGCAAGGAATTTCGTGTCAAGGGTGAGGAATTTCTCGGGGTCTCTGAGGGATTCCTGCGATGCATCTTTGTCGTAGGCCTTCATCACCCATTTAAACGCCTCATCAGGAGAATCTGATGCAGCCCTGACCGCCTCCCTAGCCGCCGTTTTCCACGAACGATACGACTCTGGACTTGGGAACTCCGGAAGGTTGATAGACTCTGCTTCTTTCACTTTGGGTTTGGTAGCATCGTCTTTGTTCTCACCCCTTAAGCTTTTCAGGCTCTGAAGAATAGCCATTTGCGTCTCCAAAAGTCCTGCATTGAAAACCTCTGTTCCTGGCACGCCGGAATCGGCCGCTGGAGGGGCCGCTGTTCCGTGCGGTGCCTGGGAAGGTCCTGCCTTGGGGGTTGAAGATGCTGCTGCAGACGGAATTTGCTGAGCATACAAACCTCCTGGATTCATTGTTTCGAACAAGCATCCAGCACCTTGGGGGATAACATTCGGCATTGAGAACATGGGCGCTTGAGGAGCCTTCGGGAAGACGGATGGTCCTGCAGTAATGCCTGGAGCTGGTGTTGGCTGGCCCTTAGGGGCAGCTGGATTGAGTTGGTCCAGAGCTTTGTCTAGTGCAGTCTCAGCAGAATCCAACCTGTCCTGAAGCTCTTCGTTCTGTTCCCTAAGCTCTCGAAGGGACACCTCATACTCTTCTTTCTGCCTGTTCTTGAACAGCTCAAAGTGAGCTTGAAATTGCTCAACCATGATTTCCTGAGAATTCTCGACGTGCTGTCTAGCCTGTTCTTCGAGGTTCTGAGCAAAGCGTGCTTCCGATAGCTGATAATCAAGTGCTTCGGTGATTAGCTTTTCTTGAAGCTCTGTGAGCTCATCCCTTAGTCCCCGATCGTCATCGAAGTTGTGAGCCTGACTTAGGGTCAGTTCAGACAGTAAGAGCCTTTCTCTGTTAGCGGCCTTGTACTCGCTTTGGGCTAAGGCTGCTTGCAGTTCCGCTACCACTTCGAAGTGATTACGTTCTGCTCTGTGCTCCAAGTCAGCTGTCTGAATCGCAGATGCTTCCTGATAGGTCAGCATGTGTTGCCTGTGTCTTGCTTCTGCCTGAGCTTCAAGTTCCCCGACCTCTAGCCTGATCTGATTTACGCGAACTTCGACACTGTACTGAGGGGCGAAGACGTTACGTTGTTGGACTGAGGCCGGAGCCGGGAAAACTAAGCTGGGTGCGCCGGTGCCTGCTTGGCCACCCGTGACCGGGGGCTGGGAAGGATTCACAGCGCTTGTAACTGTATCCATATTTGCTGGAATAAGTTCCGGTTCGCTCATGCACTGATTGATTGTATTGTAACCAACCAGAAATGACCAGGCCGTAGGCTATACGGCTGATAACCTATAGTTGTTGTAAGCCACCACACACGCACTGAATTGTATATACCCGTCCAAGTGTTAACAAGCAGCGTGATACCATTAGGCAGCTACGCACTTTTCCTGTTAGAGCACTTGTGCCACAATGTCACCACACAACATGCTACTTCACACGTGCACAAATTACAGGTTTGAGCGTGCGTGGTTTCGAAGCTGCAGGCTCCTTGCGCGTGAGAGCAAGGCGACCCCTCCCGACTGCCTGCTGTTCCCTCAGTTCCCTGTCGCTGGCCTTCGATGAGGAAGGCGCTGAAGCTTCACCTGCAAAGTCAGGGGCGATTGCTTCTGGTTGGCCCTGTCATGCAAATTCATGCAACACATGTTCGACAGCCTCCGGCAACACAAGGCTGCAACCTCTTCTCTATGAGGCCTTCGTACTGTTTCCAGTTGGCTTTGCATGGGCGACCCCTGCAAAGCAGACAGCCTGCGCTGGCAGCTGTGGAGAGTGCTGGCCGCTCGCCTGGTGTTGGCGCCTCCCACATGCAAGGTATGAGGTTGAGATTGGAATCTGCACTGTCCACCGGTGCGACCAGGGGCAACTCCAGTTCGCGGGCTTGCTGCAGTACATCAGCCGTGTTGGCTTGCCCTTTTCCGTCTCCGGATCCACGTACCTTTGGCTGGGATGCCGCCGAAGCTTCACCTGCATCGATGCTGTCGGTTCAGAGCAGGTCATGTCATCGCACACGAAGAAGCCCTAGACCACCAGCTCGTAAAGTGCTTTCAACCTGATCGAAAATCGTCTTCTCCACCACAGCTGAAGATCATCACCTTCTTCATACTCGTCCTGAGTCATCAACGTCATCTCGCCATGCCCGTCTTCATCACAATCACCATCGTCGTCATCACCATCGTCAGATCTCGATCACGCCTTTACTGTCATCGTCACCGACATCATCTGCAAAACACCGAAAAGTTGAAAGGATTTATGTTTCTGTCGGAAGTTCCTGCAAAAACGACACCTTAAACCCCGTTGACAAATCAGCCCCAAAATGCTTTCAGCCTCTCTGCGCAGCTGCCAAAGGCCCGGGGATGGGCGGTGGTACCTTCGGCTCTGTTGGGCTTTGCTTGTAGAGGACCCGTTCAGGGTTCAGGGTTTAGGAAGCCCGATTCTATATTCTATATAAGCGAACAAAATTCCTAACAACGACGATTACTGATTACTACTGCTACTGCTGCTGCCGTGCGGCTTTGGGTCATCCCTCAACGGGCGAACTGGGCGTTGTGCCGCAGGCACGGCTTTAAGAGCTCCGCGCAAATGCTGCTTTTACAGGCGCAGCACTTTCGAAGGTTGCGAGCAGCAGGAACGTGGATTTTGCTAGGGGTCTTCGTTTTGAAAACTAGCCACCCCCGGCTCTTAGCCTTGGAAAGGCTCTTGTCGAGGCCTCGAGTCGATTCTGTCGACAGTCGTGGTACTTCATGCACATTGCAAGAGTTTCCTTATGGCGTGCTGAAAGGCCTGTTTTAAGGTCTGATCTGGACGTTATCATGGTTGGCACATGGATGCTCTGCGGGATGGATGGGGTCTGATTGGCACATGGATGCTCTGCAGGCAGGGATGGGGTCTGATCTGGAGGTTATCATGTTTGGCACATGGATGCTCCGCACCCGGATGATGGGGTCGGAGTGCGGCGTAACGTCTGGTTCGGGGGCTAGACCCCTTCGCCTAGACCCTAAAAACCTGAAATCCGAAATAAATGCAATTGCTGATGTTCAAAGCAGATAGGATACTGATCATGATGACTTTGATCATGGCGAAGGTCGACATTGACTTGATTGTACACTAGGATCACAGTGTGGTCGTCGAACGACCTCGAAATACTCAACTCGCGAGATAAATGAATGAAGCAATCTGTGTTTTCATTGATTGGATGCGCATTCACTAACCTTCCAGCCAGAAACAAATGCACATGAACTTCAAGTGGCCAATGAAATGTCAATCCAGCATGAGACAGGGATGGCAGGATTTTTTTTATATTTTGTGTGTTTATGGGTTCCTGCATGGGCACTTGCGTCCTCGACTTTGTGTCCTGTGCAACCTGTATCCATAACAACAAGCAAATCTCAACTTCTGAACATGCGACAACACAGAACTGGATCATTCATTAGTACAAGGAACAGTTTGATTCCATCCAGCCACCGCGACATCACTGCTTTGAAGTTGCAGCTCGGGTCCTAAACCATGAAACGAATCCCAAGACATCAACGTAACGCCCCGCTCCAAGTACATTGGGCTAGGAAGGGGTGGTATACAACGGTAGAGATACCAAACTAAACCCTGCAAGCCCTCTCCCTCTCCCCTAAAAAGCTCGTAAACCTACAATCACCTCAGCCCCGAACCCGAATCTACACCCTAAGTCTCAAACCCTAAACGCTATACACGTCAAGCCAAATAATCCGTAAACCCCATGGACAAACTCTCTGCAGCCTATGAGCCTGAAAGCCTCTTTACCCCTTTACCCTGTACGCCTTGCGCCCTCTAAACCCTATAAGCCTTTAACCTAAACTCCCAATGCGAGATGAGCCCTGGCCTCGAGGTGTCGCGGGTCGGCTGCGGATTCATCTGCGGTTTCTGGGTTGAGTGTTCTCTTTGGTTTTCTGGGGTGCATATGGGATTGCGTAGGGCTTATCCATAGATGTGCAGATAAATATAGATAGGCATAATTTCTATGCGTGTCCCCCGTTTCGCGTTCCCAGTTCCCCTCAATGGTGTCGGCTGCAGGTGTACGCGATCTCCGCGGGGGGTGATTTTTGAGCTACGGTGCCAGGTTTGGGGGTGTTGGTTTCATGGCCCAGGTTCTCGGGGTAGAGAGTGAGGGCTTTTCAGACTTAGATTGAGGATGGCTTGTGCTATCTGAGCGCTGCAGGTCTTCGTCATGGTTATAAACTACAACTACAGGAAATCGCAGGCTTCCGTGGCAGTTCAGCAAAACTACCTGACCGCATGAGGTTTGAACTTGTGTACGATGACCTAAAGCTTAAAACCCGAACCTGCAAACCCTCAAACCGAACCCCAAACTCCTGCAGCCGCAAACCCGAAAGCCCATGACACCCTTTACAATTCGTTTCGTGGCTACCGGCGTTTGAATCTACCTGTCTTACCGTCATTAAAGCTGGCCCCACCTGACAGATCCTCCACGAAGACGACCCGCAACTCCTCACGCAACGAAGCTGTGAAACACGACGTGGATGAGGGAAGTTCACGGATTCGGCCTCAGACCTTTAGCTGAACTGTATATGCACCTGGTACATCAACTTAAAAAACGGAAGCAAACACGGGCAGAATTACATAAAACCTGTGTGTCTGTGTGTGTCTGTGTGTGTGTCTGTGTGTGTGTGTCTGTGTGTGTGTCTGTGTGTGTGTGTGTGTGTGTCTGTGTGTGTGTGTCTGTGTGTGTGTCTGTCTGTGTGTGTGTGTGTCTGTGTGTGTGTCTGTGTGTGTGTCTGTGTGTCTGTGTGTCTGTGTGTGTCTGTGTGTGTCTGTGTGTGTGTCTGTGTGTGTCTGTGTGTGTCTGTGTGCGTCTGTGTGGGTCTGTGTGTGTCTGTGTGTGTCTGTGTGTGTCTGTGTGTGTCTGTGTGCGTCTGTGTGTGTCTGTGTGTTTCTGTGTGGGTCTGTGGTGTCTGT